AAAATGTTTTTATTTGAACTATAAATAAATTTTCTGAAACTTTGTTTTAATGAATCTTTATATATGCTCATGTCTTGTATTTTTCATATACCTGATCAACATCTATTCAGACGTTCTAAACTTTTTTACTGTGAGTTTCTGACTACGTACTCAAAATGAGCTTTGAAAAAACTTTTTGTTTACAAATATTTTAGGCTTAATAGTAATAAATCTAAATGATGTAAAATCTAAAAATTTTTTAGTGATAATTTCTAAATAACTCCGTGTATAGGGTTCTGAGACTTCGGCAATACCAAAACTTCTTATCTGTTTATTTTTTTTTATATTTTTTTTTGTTTAATTTTTTTTCATTTTATCAACTTTGCTAATAGATTTTTAAACATTTTTGTTTGGCAAAACGAGCAAAATATTTCCGCGTTAAAATTTTTGGAAACACTGACATATGCTCCAAATCTTATCGGACATTATTTATTTGGTCTTAAGTGATTTACGCTGATAAGAGAGTAATTTGGCTAATCGCTGCGTGACTGCCGCTGCTTAATAACAAAGTTTTCCATTTCCGATTTTAGATTTGCTTCAGGAAAGCAAACGTAAATAGCAGTCGCGTGCTATTTAAATATAAAAATATGCAAAAACAAATAAAATTGATTTATAAAATTAATAAATAAAAACCAAAATAGAATTATTTATTAGTTTTTTTAAAATAAAATTAATTACAATTTTTACCTTCGAAATGCCACAAAATTGTCACGAAAGGTTTTAAGTGCCAAAATAAAATCAAAACTTTTCAAAAGACACAAAAGCCAGAAAAGCTTTCGTCTAGTCTGACGAAAACCACAGCAGAAAAGCTTGAAACAGTTGTTGGCAGAGCTTTTGTTTTTGTACGCACGCACATGTTTTTTGTTTACATTTCTGTGTGCTCCAATTTTGTCAGCTGTTTTTTCGCTTACCCTACATTGTTTGTGTTATTGTTTTTGCTTTTCATATTATGTGTTTGCAAAAGCTTAAGATGTGTGTGTGCGGCGGTTACGAAGAAACATGCTCGGAATTACCCAGAATTATTCGGAACGCGCCTGATAATTTTGCATGATGTAAAGAGGAAACAATTAAGCGGCCGCTTTATTTTCCTATGAAAATTTGTAACTAAAAAAGCACAAACCGAAAGACCAACAAAAAAAAATTTTAAGAAAAATGTATTTCGTGTAGGAAACTTAGCAAGAATTTCAGACAAAACTGATTACTCGAACAGCTGGAAAAATTTGTTCACATTTTTTATGGAAAGAAAATGCCTTCCATGTATTATTAAGCAGGCAATGTTTTCAAGATAAGGGGAACCCCTTAGATAACACATTATAAAAGCTTGCGGTTTTCCTAAAATGCGTTAAATTGATAAATGAAGGCAATAAGCGAATAAAAATCTTAGTCATCGAATAAAAATAACTTTGACTAGATTTTTGGAACTTTTCAAGCACTTTTGTTGAATCAGTGGAAAGAAAACTCAGTAAAAGAAACAGAATCTGTGGAAAGAAATTGACGTTCATGGTCTAAAGAAATATTTCAAAATTAGAGTAAACTTAATCTTATCTCTAATATACTCATTATATAATATTAACAAGTAAAAAATGTTGATTGTACGTAAGCTCAACTTGCAATGATATTCATAGAAAATTGTTAAAAATTTATTTCTTAATATCTATTGACCTTTATAACTTTTTTTAGATATATTGGATATTTGATTTTTTTTTTATTTGTCTCTGAAATTAAATCCAATCTGAGTATATTACCTGTACACGCGTTTTAATGCTGTTGGTATTACTACAATTATTTGGTATTCGTATTAGTTGACAAATCAAATATACAAATTTGCATAAGATATTTAATATATATAGTGAACTATTAGCATATTCAAACTAGTAGAAGTAGAGGAAATAAAAAAATTTTTTTTCTTGCAGCAAAGAGAAGTTAAATGCCTACGCACTGACCACAATCTGGCGCCCCGGTAAGTGAGTACCCAATCGAAAAAATTATAGTAGTACGAACTTCATTAATTAATTTTATTACAAAGGAATTTAAAAATCCACTTAACTATATATATTCTATTTCTTTATATTCTGACTATATGAGCTATTCAGCCAATTTGAAATAATTGAATTATGCATATAAAATAAACACTAATAAGTATTATTTTAAAATAAAAACTATGTTAAAACAATTATATATATATATATTCTATCGGGTACATGTTAGTTTTAAATTCAATAGAAATTAATTAATTAATTAATTTGATAAAATCGTTTCAAAACTGATACATTTGTCATTAAATTATTATTTCAATATAATATTTAAAGTAACAATTGTCATCAACGAAACTGAGACATGTCAGTTATTCAAATTAAAGAAATTTTAAGTAATTATATATATTTAAGCATAACATATTTCATCAACGAACTAACTACGAAGACGCTTGCGAATAACTATTTCTCAAAACATAACAACGTTGTTACACTTCATTGTTAAGAATTGATAATTAATGAATAGGGTGACACATTATTGAGTGCAAGTGTTTATAGACTTAATCTGAAATATTCAAACATATATGGCTTATATGGCTTATATTCTATAAATGTAAAAACTCTGTCAATTTAATTATGTAAATAAATGATTTAGCAGTTCAATTAAAGTCCACGGATGCAAATTTCCGAAACAGCTAATAGAAAATGAAAGAGAATAGCAAAAAATTTATTGTAAGACAACGTAGATTAACTAAAATGATGATTAAAATTTTAGATATCGAATTTTGAAGACTTACTGGAGAGCTTTACTCCATATTTTTGAAGTTTGTGTTTAAAAATGTTAAATGTAAATTTAGAATAACTAGAATGTTGACTAAAAGTCTAAACGTCGAATTTTAAGTTTTACTAAAGATCGCCTCATCTTTTGGATGTGTTAAGTTTAGAAACATAATAGATTTATCTAAAAAAAACTATTGTATCTATATATATTAAATAAATATTATACATCATACTAAAAATAAGGCATCTAGAATACCATATTATTCAAGTAAATAGTAACTACAGTAAATAATAACTACAGAATAATGAATAAATGTGTATATAAGTAAATAATATAAATAAATATTATGTATATGCTTCCATCTATATTATTCTTCAGATTTTTTTTGATATCATAGCTGGCACTTTTTTATTTATTTATATATTTATTTTTGTACCTTTATTACTGTTATTTAGCATTTGATTTTCATTTACTTGTATACATTTATATTAACTTAACACTAACTGCTTGTTAGTGTGGAATGAAAGGATTTATTTCGTAATTGACAAGAAGAAAATTTAATTTGGCAATTCATATGCAGTGTGATATTTTCACTATAGGTCTTAATTACTTTTATAAAAATCTTGAATTATTTTCTCCATTAAACTGCCATGCATATTTCATTGTCTATTTTAACCTCCTAGTCGTCTTTAATATTTAATTAAAGATCCTTCAAATTTAATCCTTCAAATCACATTTATCACTGCAATTTAAAACACTGACATAGCTCTATGTGCAATTTGAGCTTGAATAGTTTCCAAAGTAATCTTAGTTACCAATAGGGCCGGGTTACCAATATATGAAGACGCAAAATACTACCTACTAAACGCAGCCAATGACTATTCAAGTCTGTAATGTGATAAATTAATTAAATAAGTAAATTGTATCTGAAATACATGCATGTTTTCAAATTTAAATATTTAGTAAGCATATGCTTTTCATGCTGTTCCTAAAGAGTTCATTGAATTTCTCTATAACAACCCACTTTATAATTATAAAAGACTATTAAAGGTATTAACTGATTCTATGCATGCACTTTTTTTCAAGGCATTTCTCAGAATTTAATGGTATTTTTTTGCAATCAATTAACCTTTTTTCTATACGCCCACATTCCCTAATTAATTACCCATTCAACTCCTACAATGGAACACTTGCACTTATTTATTGCGGGAAGGATTTAATAAATTGAAGAGCTGACCATTGATTCAGCTACGAAAATCAGTCCATTACATGCAATTACCCACCCCCTCGTAACTAACTAGAGCACTAATACTAGAGCAAACTTTCGGTTTGACTTTGAAAACACTAGCGGCGAGCATAAAAGCAAGCAGCAAAGCTTTTCTCGACGCGTTCGGTCAGTTGATTTCAGTTGATTTGCGGTTGCCAATGTCGGCGTAAGAAACGAGAACGAAAACAACAACGACAACGACAACGAAAACTTTTGCAAGAACTTTTTTCATAAATTTGCCTTACGTGCGCTCCGCTGCTGCTGAACGTAGCGCAGTTGATGAGTTGCCTTCGTGCTTGGCGGGCGGTTGTGCAGAGTTTCAACGCGTACTTCGTTCGATACCAACAACAAAATCACATCTAGAAAATTTGATTGCTAATTTCGGAAAGCTTTGTGGGATTTCAATTGGTGTGAACACTACAAACGGTTAAATAATTTAAATAAATTGAATTAAATGTGAAAAAGTATTTTAAGCTCAAACAAATATTTATTAATTTAAATAAATTTAACATAAATTTATGTCATAATAAGCAAAACCATGAGAAAAATGTGTGAAACTTGTTAGAGAAAAAAGATTTTTTTTGTTGTTAGGAATTCAATGTGATAAAAGTGCTTTTAAGCTTACAGGACTCTATGAAAAGCTTGCCATAAGGATAGTATGAAATTTTAATCGTTTTTTTTTATAACAAAAAGGCATAAGTTTGAAATTAGTGCTTGTAGTCTTGACACGAAAATGCGCTTAATTATATAAATTTATCTATAGTGCAACTGATATAACAAAATTAAATTTTTATTTAAATAAAATAATAAATTCTTTATAACTAAGAAGAAAAAAATTCTAAATTTAACTATACATAAGAAAAAAATTACTATATTATATAATATTAAACATTACTTAGTAAACATATTGCTTTTTTGAGAATTTTACTATAAGTGCTTTAAAAAAATTAAACAACAAATAGTGCAAATTATAAGCCCACCATAACGTTTAGATACTTTTTGTGCAAATTTTTTTTATTTTGAGAAAAAACAAAAAGAAAAAAATAACTAAAGACTCTTAAACGACCTTCAATATGGCTTCCAGCATGCCTACGATTGATCAAATTAAACTTGGACTGAAGTAAGTGTAACAAACTAATTTGTAACAAATAATACTAAGTAATGATGATATTTCTATATATAAATAAAATTACTTATGCAGTAAGCAAGTAAATTATTTATGAATCAATCATTTAGTTGGTTTCCGCTTTTGAATTTCAATTGCTGATGATGCTTAAAAATTATTGCATTTGATGCTACTCACGTACCAAGTAATTATTATAGTTGATAAAATAGAAATAAAACTGACAAAATTTTTGATATTCAATCTAAACGAAATATGTTATACAATGAATCTTGATGACGTATAAGCATCTTTGGAAAAGTTTATACCAAACATAAAATATGAATATTAATTGTGCTTTCGAATTACCTCTGGATGTGAATACCCTCTGGAACAAATGCGACACATGGCATGTAATATTATTCACTATTGTTCTTTCTACATCCCAAAGCTGAAGAAAATTTTTATTATCTTAATGAGCTCTAACCTGAGGCAATTATCACTAAATCCGTACAGATAGTTTAAGCTCTAAGGTATAAATTAATTATATTTTTGAAAAAAAAATTGAAAAGCTTCTTGTAGACTTAATTATGTATTTCACAAATATACTTATATATAATATATAGACATATATTATCATTTTCTGTATTTAATTAGCAAAGATAATATGATAGAAAGAACTGTTTTTTTATTAAAAATCTTTTAAGAATATCGTTTTTTGATAATTCTATGTAGTAAGGTAAATAATTATCATAGAACTGTTACAAAAAAATATTTTTAAAAATTATATAATTATTACCATATATAAAATATTAATTACAACGAACGAATATTAGAACAACAAGAAAGTTACTAGAAATTTAACAGAAAAAATAATAATCCTTTATTTCACTTATTATATATTTATTACATATATATATAGATTAAAACTATTCATATATTCACATAATATATATGTATATTATGTTTATATGTATTATGTAAATATATTATATATATATATATTACTATTATTATATATATCACTTATTGTATAAAATTATGCTTAAGATCTCGTTTATGATTATTTTCCAATATAACTTAACAACTAAATTGGAATAGACAACATAGACTACAAACTAACAAAAATGGATATTAGAACAATAAAAGACAGTACGATTTTGGGTCTATGCATCGAATTTGTCTGGGTATTAATATCTATATATCCGAGCAACATAAAACACCGTTCTCGATATACGGAGCGAAACAAACTCACTTTATTATATTAAGTATACACAGAATAGTGTTATGAAGTCTACCTTAATTTCTACACTAAGAGTGTGAGAGAGTGGGAGAGATTATATACATACACATATCGGGTATAAGTTAAACATTTAGTTGAAACTTGCACTTTAAAAATTATTTACGAAAAAAGAGTACACAATTAATTAGAAATATTGTTCAAATTGATTAACATTCAAAACTTATTTCTATTTCTATTAGCTTATTATTATTTCCATACTTAATTGAAGATCTTGTCCTGTAAACTATAAAGCAGGAAGTTGTTGGATCAGTTTCGTAGGGTTCTTCCAAATCATAAATTCTTATAGAAAATAAACATATTTTTTTATGAAATTTTTACGCAATTTATTATTTAACATCTGCGGTTTTGAAAAATAAATACAAAATATATATTTTACACTTATTTAATTCAAATTTTAGTAGAAATAGCTATTGAATAAAGAACCATGTTTTAAAGTTTCACAATAAACATTAATTGATTTAATTAAAACAACTACTTTTTAACTTAAATTTAACAAAATTAAAATTTTCACTTTTGAAAAATGCAAATAGTTTAAATATTAATGTGTTATTTAATACTGTATAAATATATTTAATCATATATATATTCCACAACATTGAAGAAATTTTATTTTACATAAACTTACAAAAACACCCTGTAAGTAAACATGTCTTTTATTATCACTTTTACGCGATGAAAGTAGCTACAATTTTCACAAATTTTCTATAATTCACGGTATTATGTTTAACATAATTTTTCCATAGAACACAAAATGTTGCCACCCTTCTCCACAGTATTATCGTACTGTGGAAAAACATATTTTGTTTGTTTTTCTTTTGTTTATTTTTCCCCCACTTTCATTTGGAGAAATTTGTTTACTCGCACATGCAACCATCACTGAACTTTACTTGTTATCATTCATACATATAACATCATCGTTGTTGTTGTAGTTCCTGTTGTGTTCGTTAATGACATTGTTGATTTGGTTATTTCTCTGATTTCTACGGGGTTGGCGTATCCTTGTACGCTTTCCACAGTCACTGACAAGGTGTCCATTTGTTTGCATAAAAGAAAAACAGAGTCCGATTTTGTAGGAAATGAGTTGAGTGAATTTTGTGAAAAGTAATTAAGATATTGTTTGTACAGGTGTAGATTTTTTTTTGTGTTTTGTGTTTATTATATAGATTTAGTTCAACAAAAATGAAAAATTATTCAACAAAATTTCAAAAAAGGTTTACACCTTTTATGTATCTAAAAGAATAAGTTATGTGATATCCAGTCTTTTTGTGAATTTGTTGTGAACTTCATATAATATATAATTTTTATAACAAGTTTGATAAATATTTGATTTCAGTAACTACATTTTCTAAAACAAGAAATTGGACATTTTTATTAGATATACAAAATTTGCTAAGTTGATATTCAATAGTTTCAAGTAACTTTACTAATTTTTGATGTCTTAAGCACTAAAATTGCTTATTTTACAAAATAAAAGTCCAAATATGTTTCCAAATCGCAAAACAAATTTATTTCATTTGCAATTCTGCGTGGGTTTGATGAAATAAGAAACTGAAAGTGATCTCACTAGATTCTTGCCATAATTTGTGTGTTAATATTTATAGAACGTCTTGCCTCAGTGATGAAGTAAGCCCAAGAGAATCACAGTTTTGTAATCATTTTTATTGTGGTTTCACAAACAATTTTAAAAAAATTCAATTGATGAAATCATTTCAAATTATTAAAAAAATATATAAAAGCAAAATTGTTAAAAGAAACTTAGACAATAGAAGATGGAATAGAATAATAATTATTTTGAAATTGTTTTTTCTTGTGCCAAGTGGGAAGAACTCAAGTCAACACTTGAAGTTTTATTATACAAATAAAGTTTCGAAATATCAGAGATAAAATTGTATACCACCCAAACTTCTTATTTTATAGTCCATAAAATAATAAATGAGTAAAAATAAAATAAAATTAAAAACTATAGAAAATAAACATTATTTTAAATTTTATATAGCATTTAAATTCATAAAAGACATGAACCAAATAAACAGACATAAAATATTTTCCACTATTAAAATTTATTTTAATATTTCAAAAATTGTTATATTGAAATCTATGTTTATTATAAAAATAAGCGTTTTGGCTTTGGTAAATGTCATGGCAGTTATACGGAGTAGAAGATCAACTATTCCTGAAATTGTGTCCATTATTGGATTAGCTACAAAAATCTAAGAATGAACTGACATAAATAACAGGTCTGGTTTACAAAAGTTTAACTTGTTTTAAATAATTAAAAATTCGGTCTAAACACGCTTTAAAAAATAGAAAAGTCAGAAATATTATTTGCTGATGCATATATGGTATATGGGTACACTAATATAACACAACATAATGAACGAAGTTCAAAACGAACCCAAAAATCCAATAGTAATAGTGATAACTATTATCACTCAAGCAAGATGTATTCAATAGAATAAAGCTCTTTTCGGAATTCGATATCCGAGTATCGAAGAACGAAAAGGACCCAATGTTATGTCTACTTCGGCCAATCATTTCAGCGAGGCCACTTGGTGGATATCAAACTGTCCCAAAGCCCGACACTTTACAAAAAAATTTATTTAAATAACATTGATATGCTCAAAACCATTTCACTTTATAGCTAAGAAGTTAACATTTTTTGATAAAAAATTTAAAAAAACTAATGTTGCAAATCTTCAAAAATTCCATATATATAGCTAGGGAAAAAACAAAACTTTTTCATAGAAAAACTTAAAGCAGATCGTATGACTGCCTGAACGCATTGCTATTTCAAATCAATACTAATGCTTAAAACTAACAAGTACTTGAAGCCGGGCTTACATTAGATTTAGATTTAGCTTGCTGAATATAAAACCTATAGACCTCTCCAACCTGCTGCTAAGTACTGGTTTAAAATTTGGGTTATTGATCGTTTAAGGACCTCTAACTAGAATCTTTTCAAATGTGAACTTAGTGGATTAAAATATAACACACTCTTGATAATTTCCGCCTGTAGTTAAAAGAAAAAAATAGCAAAAAAATATCCTTGAAAAAATCCTTGGCGTTTAATAATCCTGTGTATTTCATTTTTGCTACTTTCCAGCATGTAAGTACATGGTGAATATATTAAAGTAAGTTTATTTACTCATAAAATAGTAGCAAAATAAAGCTTTCTGTCTAACTACACAGTAGTCCATAATATAATATCTTCAAATTTCCTAAACAACCACAGCTAAAAAGCTCCTGCATTATTCTGAAAACAGGATATTTCTAGCTACATAGGCAAAAGCTTTTATGCAACGAAAAGTAAGAAACAACAACAAAAATGGGTTCTTCAAATGCAAGAGTTATCGTAGATATGTATATAAGATATGTCATTACATTGAGAAAAATCATAACAATAAACAGATTTCAAGGTCATGTGTATAGGATGTTGTACGCTAGAACACATTTGACCTTGGTTTCTTCAAGATAAAATACAGGAAGTACCATATTTTATGCCAACGTTACACTAGACGCAAAAAAGATACAAAACTCACTCACAGCAGTGTGCATATGTTATTAATTTTATATCTTTTGACTATAAAAAAGCAACTGGCGTGCTATTAATTTCTTTATATGTATTTATTTGGCTTTTTATTCGTTTTTATTTTTTGTTTGTATAATAAAATAAAATTAATTACACTTGTATATTGTATATGAATGAAAAATACTT